GATGATAGGATAGAGAGATATATTGTGCACAACGATGAAGTCGATGTATCTTCATTTGCATATTGTACTCGTTATATACCCTTCGAAGTCGTCTTATACGGTCACTGCCATCGTATCAGGTTCAACTGTATGCATGTCAGATGCTGGACTGCAGAGTTACAGCGTGAACATGGTCAGAGTCGGAGTTTCTTGTTCTGCAAGCTGTGTGCGTTATACCCGCTTGGAAGTCGTCTTATATGGTCAATGCAAACTTGTCTGCTCCAATAGTGTCAATGTGAGATGAAAAGATAGAGAGATATAGTGTGCACAACGATGAAGTCGATGATCCCCATTTGTCTGTTGTACTCGCAATATACCCTCCAAAGTCGTCTTATATGGTCACTGCAATCGTATCTGCTTCAACTGTATGCATGCCAAATGTTATACTGCAAAGTTACAGTGTTAACATAGTCGAAGTTGAGGTTTCTTGTTCTGCAAGCTGTGTGCGTAATAACTGCTTAATGAGTTGTCTCATATGGTCATTGCGAACTTGTCTGCTTCAATAGTGTCCATGTAAGATGATAGGATGAAGAGATATAGTGTGCACAACCATGATGTCGATGTATCTTCATTCGCCTATTGTACTCGCTATAATCCCTTCAAAGTCGTCTTATACGGTCACTGCAATCGTTCCTGCATCGACTGTATATGCATGTCATATCCTAGACTGCAGAGTTACAGTGTGAACATAGTCGAAGTCGAAGTTTCTTGTTTTGCAAATCGTGTGCGTTATGTCTGCTTGAGAGTCGTCTCATATGGTCAATGCGAACTTGTCTGCTTCAATAGTGTCCATGTGAGATGATAGGATAGAGAGATATTGTGTGTACGACGATGAAGTCGATGTATCCAAATTTGCCTGTTGTATTCGTTATGAACCATTCAAAGTCGTCTCATACGGTCACTGCCATCGTTATGTTATGTTCTGCGAGCTGTGTGAGTTATACCCGCTTGGAAGTCGTCTTATATGGTCAATGCAAACTTGTCTGCTTCAATAGTGTCAATGTTAGATGATAGGATAGAGAGATATAGTGTGCACAATGATGAAGTCTATGTATCTTCATTCGCCTATTGTACTCGTTATATACCCTCCAAAGTCGTCTTATACGGTCACTGCAATCGTATCTGCTTCAACTGTATGCATGTCAGATGCTAGCTTGCAAAGTAACAGTGTAAACATAGTCGGAGTCAAAGTTCTTGTTCTGCGAATCGTGTGCGTTATGCCCGCTCGGAATTCGTCTTATATGGCCAATGAGAACTTGTCTGCTTCAATTTTGTTCATGTGAGGTGATAGGCTAGAGATATATAGTGTGTACGACGATGGAGTCGATGTATCCCCAAGTGCCTATTATACTCGTTATATACCCTTCAAAGTCGTCTCATACGGTCACTGCCATCGTATCTGCTTCAACTGTATGCATGTCAGATGCTTGACTGCAGAGTTACAGTGTGAACATTGTCAAAGTCGGAGTTTCTTGTTCTGCGAGCTTTGAGCGTTATTCATGCTTGTGAGTCGTCTTATATGGTCAATGCAAACTTGTCTTGTTCAATAGTGTCAATGTAAGATGATAGGATAGAGAGATATAGTGTGCACAACGATGAAGTCGATGTATCTTCATTTGCTTATTGTACTTGTTATATACCCTTCAAAGTCATCTTATACGGTCACTGCAATCGTATCTGCTTCAACTATATGCATGTCAGATACCAGACTGCAGAGTTACAATGTGAACAGAGTCGAAGTCGACGATTCATGTTCTGCAAACTGTTTGCGTTATACCCGCTCAGAAGTCGTCCAATATGGTCGATGTGAACTTGTCTGCTTCAATATTGTCCATGTGATATGATAGGATTGGAAGATATAGTGTGCACAACGATGAAGTCGATATATCACCATTTGCCTGTTTTACTCGATTTATACCCATCAAAGTCGTCTCATATGGTCACTGTAGTCGTATATGCTTCAACTGTATGCATGTCCGATGTTTCACTGCAGAGTTACAGTGTAAACATAGTCAGAGGCGAGGTTTCTTGTTCTGCAAGCTGTGTGCAAAACACCTGCTTGGAATTCGTCTCATATGGTCATTGCGAACTTGTCTGCTTCAATAGTGTCCATGTAAGATGATTTGATAGAAAGATATAGTGTGCACAACGATGAAGTCAATGTATCTCCATTTGCCTATTGTACCCGTTATGAACCCTTCAAAGTCGTCTCATACGGTCACTGCAATCGTATCTGCTTCAATTGTATGCATGTCAGATGCTAGACTGCAGAGTTACAGTGTGAACATGGTCGAAGTCGAAGTTTCTTGTTCTGCAAAAGGTGTGCGTTATACTCGCTCAGGAGTCGTCTCATATGAGCATTGCGAGCTCCTCTGCTTCACTAGTGTTCATGTGAGGTGATAGGATAGAGATATATAGTGTGTACGACGATGGAGTCGATGTATCCCCATGTGCCTATTGTACTCGTTATATACCCTTCAAAGTTATCTTATACGGTTACTGCAATCGAATCTGCTTCAACTGTATGCATGTCAGATGCTGGACTGCAGAGTCACAGTTAAGGTGGCTATAATTGACTGGTGTAGCAACTCTTCAATTGTTTCTGGATCGAATGTGTCGATCGATTTTAGCATAGAACACAACCAATAAGGGTCGGTAACATAGGAATTTTGCCTTTGACAGTGATTGTCATATGTGTCAAAATTTAATATTCGATTTTGGCGCCATGAATATTCCCAGTTTTCGGTTAGTCTGGGTTAGTCCAAGTTTCATTCCTCCAAAGTTCGGAAGTTTTGTCGTGCTGTTTGATGTGTTTGTGATTCTTTTTAGTTTTTCAATGAGAGTTTGTTATCAGTGTTTATAAATTGAAAGCTTTGTTGTGTTCTGAATTGTTGTGATTTGTAAAAGACCAGAAAAATGAAATACTGTATAGTGTGTGGACAAATAAAAACTGTTTCTCGTCGCCTTTTTGCGATCCTGAAGGTAATTTTTCCCACATAGATACGTTTCATGCAGGATTTGTAAATCCAACAGGACTGATGTGAGTCATATAAGTACTAATTGAATATTTGGAATAAGTATACAATAAAAACCACTGTTTGTGGGTGAATGATCGAATTGTGTGTCTATCACTTCTTACATATCAGCCCTCAAATAAATACCTATTAATTTCAATTGTTCTCATCAGACAGTCCATGCATTTTTGCATTTTACTCCCAACTTATTCTAATCAGTTCAGTTGGGTTCATATGAATTCAGAATCTACTGTGGAAATTTGTCATGAGAACATTATTGTATTCTTAGGACGAAAATGTGAGGAAAGAGTGGATTCGTGCTGCTGGTAAATACTTACCATATTATGGTTTTGTCTGTTCTGACCATTTTTCAGAAGATTGTTTAGGTGCACTCAGGCTGAGACATGGAGCACTGCCATCAAAACAGTAATTATACCTATTTTTTATCAATTATATAGTAACTTAAGCTTCTTCCTGCTCTAATAATAACTATTATTATATGTATATGATACTATAAGCCAGATAAGCAGTATTAGTACAATATGATCTATGTTTGATACTCAGTAGTTTCATTGTACAGAGAACTTATTGATTATCTAGTTGGTAGGTACTTAGGTATATCATATTGTATCTCAATAATCACTGATTCTATATAGTTTTGAGATTCCTACAGGATCTAATCAATACACCTCCACAAACACTATATTATCATTATTACTGAGGTCATCATTAATTTCTAATATTATTGAACAGTCAATGTTTATATAGCAATTATTGAAACCTTTGAGAATATAGGAAAACTAGAGTTTCAAATACCCAATAAAACAATATACTAACCCTACAGAGGTTAGTTAATCTGTGGTGAAGATACTCACAATCTACACCTCCTTCACTTTTGTTCAGAGGTGTACCATTTATTTGTTATTTTTTTCCATGCTTCTAATATAGTTTATATGTGCTTTAATTGTCTTATGAATGAAAAACTTTCTATCAGCATTTCAAAAAGAAATAAGTGACCTTTATATTTGTAATGCTTTATGATAATTTCAGCATAATAGTTGAAACTGCAAGTATAGAGTGATTTTCCAGCAAAATTGTATCAACATGTTATGCTCCTTTTCAAAATAACTTATAATCTTCATTATAATCTTCAAATTGGTTTGTATTGACAGAAAAACATGCAATTAGGTATTATTCCTGCCAGTTTGTTTCTAATGAATAAATAAATAATATAGTTATTTGTTTCACTAGGCAGTAATGTAAAAGATTTAATGCCATGGCTGGCATTTTAATGCCTAGCTGATGCTAGGAAACCCAGTCAAGGCATTACATCTTCTGCCATTAAAGAAATAATTTTTTCTCCAAGTCCAAATAATGCCTAGGCAGTAAAAGTACACCTTTTCTGCTTGTTAAGTGTCATTGAAATTCCACAATGTCATTTGGAGAAAAAATACTTTTTTTTTTATGAAACTGATCAGAATGTCCTGTTTGTATACAGTGTGTCCAAGATAATGAGGATGTCCATCATGGGGTGATGTTGATGATGGTTTCTCTGGAACAAAACGTCCTATGGAAAATCTTTCAATGCTGTTTTGAAGAGCTTAAAAAGTGGCAAGGTGAAAATGTCTTCTGTTTTCCTATATCTTTTTAAATAAAAATGTTCCCCATGATAGACTCCTTATCTTGGACAGTGTATTTTCAAGGGAAATATAAAAACACACAATATTTCAAAATTTAATAGGTTTTGAAATATAATTATGTAGAATATGTTAGCATCAAATAGTTTATTAAATATCTATAGGTAGGTACCTAATTTCATATGTTAACATTTTTATATTAACAGACAATTTTTTTACAAATGTTTCAATTTCAACATTAGCATTAATTAAAAGGAGTGACATACAAAATATTGTTTGACTTTAAATGTATCCCATTCTTATTTTCCAGACTCTGTAAACCATCAACTAGTCATTATGTCAATGAAGAATCTACTTCTCAATCATATACCCATCCTGAAAGCATGAATGACATTGATCTCCTCAAATTACCACAACCTGATCCTCCCCAATCACCACAGTCTGATAATGAGCCTGAACAAGTACCTGAACCTGAATCAGAACCTGTGCCCAACCCTGAATCTGATCCTGAACCTGCAGAGAACAATGAAGGCAACAGTGTCTTTGATGTCTTCTGTGCACTCATGAAAACTGATGTGTATTCCCTTCCTCTTCCCCCTACCTGGGGTATACATAAAACAGAGAATGCAATAATATTTTCCAAACTGTTAATGGGAGACACTGTGGCTATTGAACGTCTTCTGCTAGTTACAGAAGGAAAAATATGTGCACAAGTCCATGATAAATCAATGCATGTTACTAATACAATAGAAACCATTGGCGATTTGGTGAAATTCATTCAACAAATGGAAAACTCCAGAGTGTGTGATGGTAAAAGTAACTCTTGTAATATTTTTCCTGGTAAAAGAAAATCTCTCTGTAAACCTTGTTCAAGTTATAAGTATTTCTTGAAAAAGAGTGCTGATAAAAAACTGAAGAGTGTACTTCTGAAAAGAAATAAAGCAAAGAGTTTGATTTACATAAAAAAACAGAACAGACATTTCAAAAATGTTATAACAAACTTAAAAAGGGAGAGGATTGATGAAAATAAACTAGATTTATTTGTGAAAAATCTCCCATCTAAACAATAAGAAATGATCAGGGCATGTCATAAGGCAGCAAAAACAAAGAACTGGCAACAGATATACTTTGGAATGGGTTTATGAATGCATTCTCATGAAAATTAAAAGTACTAGATTATATAACCATTTACGAGATAATAAAATATTATCTCTTCCAGCCCCTAGTACACTCTCAAGGTGAGTTAATCCAGAATTATTAATTGATGAAACAACTATTTTTGATTTTGGATATTACTTATTCCTACTCTGAAAATTTTATCAAGTGAAATGCAAAGACAACCAATGATTAGTTATGCATGTCTGCCCAGTCATTCATAGTTTATATTTTTTTCCATATATTATTTAATATCTATCTATTGTCTGCACAAAGCAGATGAATCATTTCATTACACCATTTTTATTGCTTATTTCTTGATTTTTCCCAGGGGTAAAATGTTGATCACCAAACTCCAATTTATCAAGTGATTGCAGATAATTCTAATTATCGTTTGGGTGTTCACTACTCTTACCCCTAGGATTTTTTAAATGAGTGAGTTGAATGAAAAATGTTTTGTCAGTAATAGTGCCAGTTCCATTGCACCTAGTTTCGAAAATATTGAGGTAAGTAATGAGGAAAATATAAGTTCAACAATCAATTGAAAGCATCCTTTTGTCTAAGAAATTTATACCATAATTACTTTGTTACATACCGAAAAGTGCTCAAAAACGGCCAGTGCTGTAACTTATGAGTCATTAGAGATTGGATTTTGAAATTTGGTGGGTATGAAGTGTACCAAATTGCCAATTTTTTGACAATAAAATAGTTTTATCACTTCTGGTTGAACCGGAAATAACCCCAACTTTTGTTTTTCAAATAGAGAATATCCTGTTTATTCTTTCATTTTTGGATTCAGGGGATCATTTTACATACTTCAACGAGGAAATTATTCTGATATTCTGAAAATATCAGAATATACAAGGTGTACTTCCTGAAAATCAAAAGTTGGGGTTGCTTCCGGTTGAAGCAGAAGTGATAAAATAATTTTTTTTCAATAAAAGGCAATTTGATATATTTTCTACCAAGCAAATTTCAAAATACGATCTCCAATGATTAAGTAGTTACAGCTTATAGGCCGTTTTTGTGCACTTCTCTGTATTGCAAAATTTTTCCATTATTGGAATTGAAACATTTCTCAAATCAATACATCTGATATAGAATTTTGTATCATTTTTGAGTCAATGTATAATAATTCTGCAGAAAGTTTCAATGTGCGCACCAATTAATTCAACCAAACAAGTCACACTTTTGATTCTTTGGGAGATATTTACCATAGGAAATGTATTAACAAATATATTGATTATGTAGGTATATCAGGAGCATAGACGGAACTTTTGGCTTCAAAAATGAAGTTTTCCAAATGTTGAAGGAAAAAACACAAGATTATAAGGAATGGCAGAGGCATGGCTCTTTACTCATTGATGAGTGTAAAATAACTGCCACAAAAAAATTCGATAAAAATAGCATGGAGTTCATTGGTTTTGTTGATCTTGGCAGTTACACTCCAAAAAACCAGGAAAATACACTGGGAGACCATGCTCTGGTTGTCATGTTTCAGCCTTTCGCAGGAAAGGGGTTACAGGCTCTGGGATGTTTCCTCACAAAGGGGAATATAAGAGGGGAAATCCAGGCTAAGATAATTCTTGAATGCATAATCTTGTGTGAAAACTCAGGGCTTCGCATTGATGTGGTTACTAGTGATGGGGCTACATGGAACCGGACAATGTGGAAACATCTAGGTGTTGAAAGTCCATTGGAACCCTGGTGTGAACATCCAATGGATTCCAATAGAAAATTGAGGATGTGTTCAGACTTTCCCCATCTTATTAAATGCCTTCGAAACAACCTGGAAAAAAAGAAGACATTTCAAGTATGAACTTTACAATTATTATTGTATCGGATAATACAGATTTCTGAACGTATTTTAGGTTCCTGAGGGTGTTGTGCAATACTCTCATTTTGAACTGTTACAAAAATATGAATCAATGAAGGAATTCAGAATGGCATTCAAATTAACCCCCAGTCACATTCACCCCAAATGTGGGGAAAAAATGTGTACTAGACTGGCATTCCAGGTATTGTTGTGATACACAAAAATATTATTTTTGAACTACAAAGGCTACAAATTACAATGATGTGAAGCTTATTTATCATTTCTCCAGCCAGTGTATATTTCTCAATTATTGTGAAAAAATAATGTATTTTTTCATTCTGAAATTTCACAATGAACAAATCATAAGCATGAATCTGCTTAGCTAGCAGAAGGCAGCCAATACTGTACAAAATAAAGTAATACCTCCACATCTGATCTAACTACAATTATTATTGTATTTAGATCAGATGTGGCTGGGTAAGAGGAACAAAATGACAAATTTCATTACTTTACCATCATCAGATTTTTTTAATAATCCTATTCTCACAAATGATTTTTAGCTTTTTAGTAATACTACAGCTTTGGCACTAGAGGCCTGTAGAGACAAGTTCTCGCCATTTTCGAACTCAGATGCAACAATAGCATTCTGTAGAAGAATTAATAATCTGATAGATATAATGAATTCTTCATCGCCTCTGACAGGTTTGAGATATCAATCAGACAAATACAATGTGAGTATTTTTTTGTTGAAATCGTAGTAGTGGAAAGTTGAAGAAAATTGGATTGTTTTTAAAAAAATTAATATTTGATTGAACAGAAATGTGTCCGCTTCTAATTGTTCTGAGTATAGAATTTTCATGTATCAAGTGAGCAAAGTGGTAAATACATTTTTTCTATGGCTATAACACAAAATTGCTCTTGTTTTACTGTGTGTTCGATAAATCAATGGGGTACTTTGTATCTCATCAACTGTAATTCCATATCTGAGATCACAATTTCAATAAAATATCATCGCCCATGGATGGTCAAATTTCAAGCAATGACAGCTCTGTCTAATAGATGAGCATTACCTAGGAGAAAATTAGAAGGCTACAATCCAAAGAAATAAAAAAATTTCACTGTTATTCTTACAGCCGTAGAAAAATTATAGTGCATAACATGAGCCGTAGGCAAATGCTGCAAACTTCATTCTCGTGGGAAATCACTATCATTTCGTGCTCCTTGAACAATATACTATTTCAACCACCTTCAACTCAGATATCTAACTAGAAATTTCAAATTATATAACTGTACAAAATATGGTGATTCAATAATTGGCACAGATTTTATAAAGAAATACCTGATTGTATTTTGATATTTGCAAACTTTAACTACACACACAGTATACAAAAAGCCGAACTTCTATACAGTATGTCTCACTTTGAACGTCCCCCCCCCTCTATATCTCAGCTATTATTCCTGTGATTCTTACCAAATTCAGATTGATATAAATAACTATCAGTTTGATCAGTTTTTCAGAGACAAACATCATTTTGGACAGTTCCGTGCGTTTTTATTGAAATTAAAAGGAGTATTTTTATTCATTATTCCAGATTTTTTGGGATTTTCTCTCTTTGTTTCAATAAAATAAAAATATGAATATAATTTCAATATACATGTAGTAAGGAAGAATCAGATGATTTTTCCTTACTACACGTATATTGAAATTATATTTATATTTTTATTTTATAGAAAGGAGGAGAGAAAATCCCACAAAATCTGGAATAATGAATGTACCACCTTGATTAACCTACAGACAGTATTTGAGTATTTTTATGAAATTATATAAGGAATTTTTCACAGGAAAACTAACCTCATAATATTGTTCTTCATGGTTTTGAACCCCCCATCTGTGATTTTTTATATAATTTCTCTGGAGGGTGTCAACAAAAAAAGGATGTCTTGTTTTTTCTTTCAAACCATAATTTTCTACCTACCAGAGCTATCCACCATTCTAATATTTGCAATTAATTTTAATTCATTATTTTTTCAAGGCAAAAAATTAAATAAAGCCGATCCTGGTAATTCAGAATGGGGTGAATTTTTGCATATGGGCATTATTAAGTTAGTTTTCTGCAAAAAAATTCTAATCAGATTTCATACGAAATCGACCTTTTTATTTTGAAACAAACTCACGGCACTGTCTAAAATGATGTTTCTCTGAAAAACTGATCATATTGATGATTATTCATACTAGTACAAATTTGGTAAGAATCATATGATTAAAAGCTGAGATATAAAGGGGTGTTTGAAGTGAGACATGCTCTATAGAGGAAAAGTGACACTTTTTATGACATGATACCATCAGGACACAAAAAGTACCCATCTTTGAATAAAACATGCTATTTTTTCTACAACTATTCACATCATATTTTCAAATGAAAACATTATATCAAATGAATCTTTATTTCACTGCCTGCCCTCATTCCTTAGTGGAGGAGAACAGAACAAATTTGCCAATTCTATTCTTTTTGCTCTGCTCATGAATCTTGATGTTTGAAGAAAAATATCTTTGGCAAAAATATATCTAGTTAGATAGGTGGGTAGGTAAATTATCAAAATCAGTGAACAAACCTAACTTTCTGAAGAATTCTAGCACATAATGAAAAGGCTTTGTAAGTAAATACTCACCATTACACCAAAAGTTCATCCAAATGAATATTTATAGGAACTACAAGATTTCCTCAATTATTTGGATTTGTGGGAACAATGTAGTTCTCCTGACCTATTTTTGTCCAGATCCACTTTCGATGGTATGAGAGCAACAATTTCTTGTACACTTGACCTAAT